GACTGCACCAGTACTCATCACCCCACGGCATGATCCCTGCTCTTAGGTGCTGGGCAGAGGGAGGGGCGGTCAGGGTAAGGATGGGGAGGGAGGAACGGCGAGGGCCCAAGATGGGGAGAGGAGCTGTGCTGCTGTGAAGCAATTCCTTTTACATGGAGTAGGACTCTTAAAAGTATAAGCAAAGGGAAAAATTAATTTTTTAAAACACTTGATTAGAGGGTATAAATAGAAACAAGGAGATGCAGTATTATTTCTAAGGAATCATGTTTTCATTTACTTTGGACTGGTGACAACTGGACAGGTCTCAGTGCCCAGAGACCTCAGCTTTTATCAGAACCTCATGCCAGCCCAGGAATGCAGGAAATCACACTATTGTCCTGTCTGCCCCATAGCTTAGAACAGGGCGGGAGTTGATTACTAATCCTGGTTACCCATACCATGAAATCAGATCATCGCCACATGTGAAAGAGACATGGAGTGTGTTCCTGGGGGCAGCATCTCAACAAATCCGGCTTACTGGAGTCATGGGGCAGGCTGATGTCCCTCCCTTCCATACTCACCACTGATTTACCAGCCCACCTGCCCTCATGGGTGAGCCCTCGGCAGCCACCCAGCATACGCCACAGTCCGGCATCTTGCCTTCCTCCATTCACATTATGTGAAAGGACTCTTTTTAATGAATGAGCAAGTGTCCTAAGCAACATTATCCAAAGACTGTCCTTTCCATCCTCAAATCCTATGACCGGGATCACTCTACAACACTGTGATGATTATTTTCAATGAGGTGCCTTTCTTAACTGTCCAAATGCTGCCTTGTTTGGCCCCTAAATAAAGTGTGTTAAAAGTTTGTATCCCCTGTTGTGGCATTTTTTAAGAAGATGTGGGCTAGTAAAGTGACGCTGAATTCTGGATCTGATTTGGAAGCCCTTTCTTTGGGTCCTTACAAGTCGTGAGAAGGCAGGAAGGTCCAAGTGTGTGTTCATAAGAAGAGTCTGCTCCCTCTTGGCCTTCAGCTCATCTGCAGGATTTTCTTGAGCCCAAAGACGAGGCCGCTTGGGCCAGTGGAGACAGTGCTGTGCTTGGGGTTCAGGGATGTATATCAAATCCCAGCCAATCATTTACTCTGCTCCTATTTCCTCGTGTGAAAAAGAGACTAGTGGTGGTCCAGTGGTTAAGACTACCTGCCAATGCAGGGGACACTGGATCCCGGGTCTGGGAACATCCCACATGCCGTGGCGCACCTAGAACCATGTACCACAGCTTCTGAGCTTGTGCTCCACGACAAGAGAAGCCACCGCAGTGAGAAGCCAGCGCAACATAACGAGAGAGTAACCCGTTCTCTCCGCCACTGAAGAAAGCCTGTGGGCAGCAACAAAGACCCAGTGCAGCCAAAAGTTGATAAATATTTTTTAATAAGAGGCTAGTGATGCTACCTTCTCAGACTCATTTGCTAGTAAATGAAGTTTATAAGAAGGTTTCTACTTGGTACCTGGCATGAACAGACACTGGATAAATGCTAGCAGAATCCAAGGATACATAGAAAAATAACCTGCTTCCCGCCAGGGTGGATGATTGTTAAGCAAACAGTTTGTCCACAGACTAGAAAGCCAGTGCTTCTAATCCCTAAGCCAGATTTTTGGCTGCCTTTTCAGCTGCCTCTTTAACACCCTTGGTTGCTTCTTTGTAAATCCATTTCTTCCCCTGCAAAAAAGGAGCTTAAATCATTTGTCCAAACTGAAGCTCTCGTGCTCTTTGAAAGGGCTGTCTTTTTACTGGGGTTTCTGAGAAGTGACTGCTGTCCCTGAAAGCAGCTGGAGCTGACCTGGAAGCACCATCCTTCTCCAGCCAGGCGTCCTTGCTCTGGAGAGAGGCAGGCCTGTTTCTGGTGTCCGAACTCCTGCTCCCTCTTCTGCTCTACCATGTCCCCCACCTCTGCAGGGTCATTCTCAGGTGATTTATTTGCCCTGATCTTTTCATTCCCAAAGTATTTAAATGTCCCATGAAAATTTTCTTCCGTTCCCTTGATCATCATGCAACAAACTGGGGGAAATGTTTGTCACAGCAGCCCGGGAGGATATGTGGTATGGGTCGAAAGGATAAACTGGAAGAAGACAGGTGAACTCTTGCTCGCTCACGCCTTTGGGCTTGGCCTCCTCTCTGGAAACCGAGATTGGATGAAGTAAGAGTCCCCACCGTTTCTGGAAGGCTGACACGTCAGGTGCTCTGCAGCAGCCCCACACCCACGACCTTGCTTGACCTCTCCCCAGCCCCCACAAAGCGCCCTAGCTGGTTGGCGCTGTCTTCTGTCACGGGGGAGGAGACCAGGCCTCAGCAGTGGTCACACTCCCGAGGGCGCCGTAAGAAGCAGTCGGGGCTTACACACAGTCTCTGACACCTTGCTGCTGAACTGATCCAGAGGCTTGCTGCTACTGCAGCAGAAAGGGCCCGTCCAGATGGGCACCCCACACTGCCAGAGCCAGTTTGGGGGATATCGTTGACAGTCTGAGGACCCAAAGTGTGTCCTTAGGATCTCATGTGCACAAAATGTCGCAGACAGGATAGAGTGGGGTGAAGAGCAGGCTCAGTCCTCCAGAAGCCTAACTAGCCTTTTCTCAGGAAGAAGCTACATGAGTCAGAGATGACAGGTTTCAGCAGCAGCTCCTCCACTACCAGCCTTCCAACAAATCATTGCACCTTATCCGTTGAATGGGAATGATCCCCACCCCTCAGATGTGCTGACGACACTGGTGACCAAGACAACTGCGTGGGCATGCGGCAGGTGCTCGGTGTGTGCTGATGGAGCTCAGAGTGAAAATGAGGGTGTGGGCAAGAGCTGTCGTCTCCCTGAGTCAGGAACCAGACTAGGCTAAAGATTCTTTTGTTTTTTTCTTTTTTTAAACTAAAGTGTAGTTGATTTACAATGTTGTGCCAATCTCTGTTATACAACAAAATGGCTCAGTTTTATATTATATATACATGTACATTCTCTTTTTAATATTCTTTTCTGCTATGGTTTATCCCAGGAGATTGGATAATTCTCTGTACTATCGAGTAACACCTTGTTGTTCATCCATCCTATATATAATAGTTTACATCTGCTAATCCCAAACTCCCAGTCCTTCCCTCCTCCACCCTCTCCCCCTCTTGGCAACCACAAGTCTGATCTCTTATGTCTGTGTGTCTGTTTCTGTTTTGTTAGATAGCTTCATTTGTACTATGTTTTAGATTCCACACATAAATGATATCATAAGGTATTTGTCTTTCTCTTTCCTGCTTTACTTAGTATGATGATCTGTAGTTGCATCCATGTTGCTGCAAATGGCGTTATTTCATTCTTATTATGTCTGGGTCATATTCCATTATGGATGTGTACCACATCCTCTTTATGTAGTCATCCGTTGATGGACATTTAATTTGTAAGAATTCTTAACGTGAAGATCTAGAAGTCTATGGACGCCTGAAATTGCATGTAGAATTCTGTATTTTTGTATATTCATAACTAATAATTAACATATTTCATGCTTACTGTTTGGTAGGTTCTGCATATATTATCTCAGTCTTCTCAATAACCATGTGGAAGTAAGTACTATCATTATTTCATATGTATGCATTTTGGGGCTCATATACCTATGAATGGCTAAGCCTGGTCTGTGACTCCATGCACACCATTGTGCCAATTGCTTTGACATTTTTCTGGAAGACAGATTCTGAAGGCACCTGTGATGCAGAGAAGCCTGGATGAACAGAAAAGAAACCTGAGTAGGTTTGCTCTGTCCCAGTGAAGGGCCTGGGTCAGGAGTGCCACCTCAGGGTAAAGTAGTTTTCTGTGTTGTTTTTCTTTCTTGCTTCCTTGTTATGGGCATGAAGGCACCAATGTGTTGGATTTGCAAAGCTCTTGGAATAACCCCTGCTTCTGGGACGGATGGCAACAGGAGGCTCTGCCTCGCAGTCTTTCCTCTCAGGCTGCAGCTTCACACGTCTCATGGCTCCCACACCCCAGAGGGAGCATTGCCCTGCTGATGTCTTGGGAATGTGGCGGCTCTGTGTTTGGAGTCATCCAGGGCACTACGATGGTGAGCTGCCCTCACAGAAGGCCCCTTCCAGGTACCCAGTTTGAATGAGGTGCCCCTAAGCAGAGAGCAGAAAGGAGGGGAAAGAGAGGTGTCAGCAAGAGCAAGACAAGACTTAGGCCCCCCACCCTATGCTGGTAACTCAGGCTAAATAGATCTGCACTTAGAGGGTAACATTGCTGCATAGCAAATAATTACTCTGTATGGGGTCCCTTAGATAAAGACTTTGGGGACAAACCTCTCTGAGCTTGGAGCTAGGAGATCCTTTTGCTTCCTATTTAGCTGCTCTGCACTCTTCAATTAGATAAGGAATGCTTCATTTTCTACTGTTTCCTTTTTGCCTGCTGTAAGAAAGCTCCCCTAATGTTCACTTGCTATGCTTTCCTCTGCCATGGTTTCTTAATGAGATTCTTACCCCACCTCACCCAAACTCTGCTTTTGTAATTTTACTGTTCTGTGCCCCAATGTGCGTTGTAAACTGCCTTGAGTCTGTTTTGGAAAAGAAATGGAATGTGGAAAAAGTGCTAATTATGTGGTGCAGGAAGTCAGACTGCAGAGAAATGGGTAGCTTCATGGAGGAGGTGGGTCGGGGTGGGTCCATGGAGGGAGGATGGGCATTCCAGGCAAAGGTCATGGCTCAAGGGGAGGTATGGAGGCCACTGGCACTTTCGGGCAGCTTTTACCTAGTGAGCCTCTAGAATTCTTGGGAAATCTGCAACTGGTTAGAAATATGCTTGAAACCAAGCATAGGGAAGAGAAGATTTTCAGCTCAAGAGTAATGTCGAGGGATTTCCGTGGTGGTCCAGTGGCTAAGACACTGCACTCCCAGTGCAGGGGACCCAGGTTCGATCCCTGGTCAGGGAACTAGATTCCATGTGCCACAACTAAGAGTTTGTATGCCACAGCTAAAGATCCCACATGCCAAGATGAATATCAAAGATTCTGCATGCTGCAACTAAGACCCGGCACAGCCAAATAAATAATAAATATTGTTTTTTGTAAAAGTAATGTCAAGAACACAGAAGAGCACAGGGGCATGTACATGTTAGGCTTGAGGGACCACTGAAGGTCAACCACAGGCCACCCTTCTTCCTGCTTCCCCCAAACTCTCCGCATGGGTGCTTCGACCATGAATTGGGTGATCCTTTGCTGTGGGACCCAGCAGTCCCTCAGAAGAGGGAGAAGCCCTATTTTACTGTAGCTCAGCGTTCAGTCGTGTGCCTAGTGGTTGTGGGCCTGGGTTGGGGGTGGTGAAGATGACCTGTCGTTAGATCTTGGCACTGACTGTAGCTCCCTTGTGTGCCTTCGGGTGACACCTCGCTGTGAAGCCTCAACAAACTTACTGTAAAATGAGGATCATAGCACTTGTCTATAGGTAGGCAGAGTCAATATGAAATATAGCAGCTGCCCAGTAAATGACCCTTTTTTTCTCCTTTCCCATGGCCACTTGCTGAGGATAAAAGGACCTTACCATAGCTACCAGGTGTATTTCAGAAAGTCTGTCTTAACCCTTTCCTACTCCCCAGTGCCACCTCCACCCCCACCACCACCCCAGATGGCTACCACACCAAACCAGGAAAGACTGCTTGACACTGGAGTGTTTGCCGAAACCACCTCTCGTACCTGCCCTTATTCCACAGGCCACCTGTTGGCTGCCTGCAGGAACTGCCCTCCTGGAAGCCAAAATGAGAAGGTGTGCAAAAGAGCAAGAGAGGTCTGTGTGCGTCCACGGCAGGGGTACCAGGGAGGTGCTGGACTGGGCTAAAAGAGAGTGCTAAGAATTTGTTGGCTCATCCTTTGAAAACCATTGAAAACTGCCCTAAAGGAATGAGAGTGGTACCTCCCCCTTGTGGTTGGCGCAATCAAGTTCATGTATATCAGACACTAGAACAGTGACGGCCTGTGGTGCTCCGTTTGTGTTCCCTAGCTGGCAGCTCTGCCTCAGCAATTCCACTTTGTTAAGTATCCTAAGGAAATGACTAAGTATTCACAGCATTTGTATGACAGGGTAAGAATTGGAAACAACCTAAATTTCCAACAATAGGGGAGATAGGCTATGATTCATTCAAGGGATGAAATAGAATGCTATCATGAGATCATTCCAAGACAGAAAAATTTCGTGATAAACTATTGAGTGAATAAACAAAGGCTATTAAACAATAGAGAATGGGTCCATTTTTTAAAGTAAACATTTGATTTGTAATAATTTTAAGTTTACAGAAAGATTCCAAAGATAGTACAGAGAGTTTCTGCATGCACTTCACCTAGCTTCTCCAAATGTTAACATCTTACATAAGCATGGTACATTTGTCAAAACTAAGAGATTAACGTGGGTACATTATTAGACTCTGACTTTATTTGGTTTTCACCAGTTTTTCCACTAATGTCCTTTCTTTCTGTTCCAGGATCCAACTCAATATATTACATTGCATTTAGGGTTGGTTTTTTTTTTTTTAGTGTATACACACAGAAAAAGCATGGGCGGTTACAGATGAAAGTATTTTAACTGTGATCATAGCTGAGTGTTGGAACTATGGAGTTTTTAAAAAACTTTCTTGGGTCTTCTAATTTTTCTGTGTATAATTATGGCATACTTAGAAAACTAATGCCTTCAGGCTGAGCTGGTGTCTCTCTGGTTACTCCTAGTATGGCTACACTGTGTTGTGATTTATTTATTCATTTGTCCTCTTTAGACTGACCTCAAAAGGAGGGGCCGTGTCTTCTTCATCTCCTTTTCCCCAGTCTTGCAGCTTGGGTGGGGGCACTGAATTCTGATTGAATGAATGAGTAAAATCAAAGAATTTTATTGCTATCAACTCTTACAACTAGTCTTAGCATTCTCTCAACTCAAGGAAACCCCAGGCTTATGTTTCTCCAGTTGGATGACCCCTGCAGAAGTATTGGAACTGTTTTTAAAGTGTGCAGCCCCAGAGTTGACCCTAATGCCCGTTACTGATTGAGTCACTGTGGGCAGAGTCATGGACTATGCCAAATAGCCAGACCTAGGTCAGTTGACCAGGCGTTTATATGGTGTCCAAAGAAAAGACAGAGTTCTATTGTCCAAGGGAGTGGGGTTGGATGTTAAGCAGGTTAAATACAACATCAGAGTCAGGTCCCAAAGCAATTGCTTAAATCCCTGATTCTTTCCACTAAACTATAAACTTGAGGAGGATAGGTCCACATCAGTACTGTTTATTGTTTTGTTTTTTTTTAATACTGTTTATTGTTAAATCCCTAACACCTAGCATAGCACTTGATATGTAGCAGGGGCCTAATCAATATGTAGTGAAGAAAATACATCTCTTTGTAAAAGTAGTTTATTAATAGATAGTATTTGAATCAGAATAATTTTAGTTGCAAATAACAGCAAACTGACTTTGAAAAGGAAATTGTTGGCTCATGCAGCTGAGAAGTCTAGTGGAGCCTGGTAGATTTGATGATTTGATCTATTTCTCTGCTGGTCCCCTAGCTCTGTACTCTCAGGATCATCCTCAGGTTGGCTACTCTCATGACAGCAAAATGACTGCAGCAGTTCCAGACCTCACATCTACACTCTATACCATCTGGAGCCAGAGAGAGAATATGTATCCAAGAATTCCCAGCAGGATTTGCTGTGGACTAAGATCATCTGTTGTTCAGTTGCTAAGTCATGTCCGACTCTGTGACGCCATGGACTGCAGCACACCAGGCTTCTCTGTCCTTCACTGTCTCCTGGAGTTTGCTCAAATTCATGTCCATTGAGTCAGTGATGCTATCTAACCATCTCTTCCTCTGCCACCCTCTTCTCCTTTTGCCTTTAATCTTTGCCAGCATCAGGGTCTTTTCCAATGAGTCAGCTCTTCGAGTTTGATTAGCTTCTTCACAAAGATCATCCGATCACTTGTGAACTGGCCATTAGTGGGAGGGGTTATTTATTGGCTTAGCTTAGATCATGTGCCCTACCATTAGAACAAGTGCAGGAGGGAGTAGAATCAGCTTCCCTGAAACCATGAGGAACCTCAATGGAAACTGAGATTTTTGAGAAGACAAAAGCAATCTAGTTCCTGGAGAGGTAACATACAGGCATCTGACTCAGTTGTTGAGTTGTGTAGCATAGACATAGGCTGCAAGAGTTAAGAGAAGGCAGTGAGTGAGGGCTGCAGCAGCCGGAGAAGGGAAGCTTCACGGAGAAGAGACTGAAATAAAACCTGAGATGAACGATTTAGGCAATGGGGAGTAGTGGGCTGGGGGCAGTAAAGAGGAAGGAAGGACCCTTGTGAAGATATCACAAGCATTTCCATGTGCCAGACTGCACGCTAACCCCTCTTTAGGCATTCAGTTAATCACCACAACGACCTGCAAGTTTAGTATCTTCATTGTCTCCATTTTACAGGTGAGAATCTGAAACCCAGAGGACACACAGTAATTGCTGAAGTTGGGCCTTGGACCCAGCCTGTCTGGCTCTGGAGCCATGATACTAGTGAGTGAAGAGGGCCAAGGCCACCTGAGAAGTGTGTGCACTAGTGGAGTGGCCTGACCTCAAAGATCATCACAAAGGTAGTTAAGACTGTGAAGTGAGGCTCCGGAATTTCATCTCCCAGCCTGTGTTCATGCTGTCTCCTCTACCTGGAATTCCTTCTCCACATCCCTCTCTAAACCTTGCCTCTTCACAGCCTGAGCCCCATAATACATTGTAACACCTAGCCCATGTGAACTTCATGAGACTGTGTTCTCACTAGACTTATGTGAGCTCACAAAAACTGCACTTCAACTTTTCATCTGGGGGGCTTGACACAGTGAACTGCCCTTTATGGTTGCCATGGTGACCTCCTCTTCTGAGGACTGGAGGGATATCAAAGACACAGATTGTTGGAGCCCTCAGCTTTACCTTATCTAATCCTCTTGCTTTATAGGAAAAGAAATAAACCAGAGAGGTTGGGACTTTCCCAAGGAACCGATTGAGTCTGGAACCCTGGAGCCTGGGATTCCAAAACGATATGGCTTAAAGAGCATTATTAGCTCTGGAGCCAGATTGAACTCAGATCCGAACTTCTCTGTGCCGGGCTTTGTGACCTGGGCAAGTCACTTAACCTCCCTGAGCTTCATTTCCCTCAGCTGTATAGTGGGGTTATAATGGCACCTCCTCCCAGGGCTGTTGTGAGAAATAGTTCTTTTGAATTTCCAGCACAGAACCTGGCACATGATGATTCTGCAGGAAATGGAGGCTTTCGTTATCCAAGTTATGGTCTGTGAGACACGGTGACACCAGCCCTGCACAGCAGGGCCTTCGGAATCCTCCTGTCCTCTTCCACATCCCAGTCCACACATCTTCCCTTCAGAACAGCTGAGAAACCAAAAGGAAGTCGCTGTGATGACTTTGGGGTGGGGGGTGGGCAAGAGTCCCCTCCTTTGAGATACTGGCTTGGGCTAATATGACTCACTTGTGGGCCAGAGCCCTCCCCCACCCCTTGTTGCCCCACCAAGGCCGGGCTCTGAGACTCCCTGCTTCTGCCTCAGGCTGGCACAGGTGTGGAGCTTCAATGTGGTCCCTCATATGCTCTGTGCCAGACGAAGAGAACAGCAGGAATAACAGATAGCCCTGGGCAGACCCCCAGAATACAAGGTCCTTTGTCTCTGGGGTGGAGGTGCTCCCCGGGCTGGATGGCACAATCACATGACTGGGCCCCCCCCATTCAAAAGATATACTAGGTCACCCCCTTTTGAGAGTCGCCACCCAGCCCCTGCCCCTGCTCATATGAGTCCCTGACTCCCCACCTTCTGCATCTCCCTGGCTGGGGGATGATGGGCAAGTCACTTTAGTGCACTTCAGCTTCCTCCTCTGTACTACGGGGACAGTGACACCTTCTTCAGAATTAAACAGAATCCTATATGTGAGAGTGTCCCATGCTAGGTCTTCACACACCAGGTGCTCACTATATGTTTCTCCCCTCCTTGCTCAGTTGTGCCATTGTCCAGGCAGCAGGGATCAGAACCGAGGCATAATGCCTTTGAAAGTTCGCCAAGCTCTGACCCACAGCTGTTTGAAATCACATCTTCTGTTCCCACTGGATGGACTCCCAACACCTGGGCTTGGTCCTGGTTCTGCCCCTTACTAGGCAGCTTTTATTAATATGTATCATTCACATTCTATGAGCCTCAGTTTCCTCATCTGCAAAATAAACACATTTATTGATTCAATATATTTACTCTCTGTACTGGGCTTTGGGCACCAAGAAACAAATGAGATTGCTTGCCTTCAAGGACCTCCCGGTCTAGTAGAGGAGACAGATGTAAGATCAGAGACACGTGGAGGGAGCAGTAAGAGCACGGCAGGGGGTGAGCGGCTCAGCCTGGGTGGATCTGGGAAGACCTCAGAGGAAGGCACATCTGAGCCACACCTTGAAAGGTGAGTGGGAATTTGCCAGGCAGCCGTGGGGGACAGATTTTGTGTCAAATGTGTTTTATTAACGGGGCTGTCTGGCCCTGCTAGCTCCTACCTCAGCCCACCTTGCTCACAGAGGAAACAAAGAAATGCGCTAGAAACTCATCTCCAGGCCAAGAGTTCCTAGAACAAGGGGCTAGGGAGGCATAGCCACCTGCAAGGCAAAATTTAGACTCACCAGCCCGCCACACAGAGGCCCATCCACCTTCATCTTCCCCTTGTATATTACACTCTGGCACAACAGAACCTCTTTTTTGTAAATTTATTTATTTAAATTGGAGGCTAATTACATTACAATATTGTAGTGGTTTTTGCCATACATTGACATGAATCAGCCATGGGTGTACATGTGTCCCCCATCCTGAACCCCATCTCTCACCTCCCTCCCCATCCCATCCCTCAGGGTCATCCCAGTGCACCAGCCCTGAGCACTTGTCTCATGCATCGAACCTGGACTGGCGATCTGTTTCACATATGATAATATACATGTTTCCTTGCTATTCTCTCAAATCATCCCACCCTTGCCATCTCCCACAGAGTCCAAAAGTCTGTTCTTTACATCTGTGTCTCTTTTGCTGTCTCGCATATAGGGTCATCGTTACCATCTTTCTAAATTCCATATATATGCATTAGTATACTGTATTGGTTTTTTTCTTTCTGACGGAATTCACCTTGTATAATAGGCTCCAGTTTCATCCACCTCATTAGAACTGATTCAAATACATTCTTTCTAGTAGCTGAGTAATATTCCATTGTGTATAAGTACCACAGTTTTCTTATCCATTCATCTGCCAATGGACATCTTGGTTGCTTCCATGTCCTAGCTATTGTAAACAGTGCTGCGATGAACATTGGGGTATATGTGTCTCTTTCAATTCTTGTTTCCTTGGTGTGTATGCCCCGCAGTGGGATTGCTGTGTTGTATGGGAGTTCTATTTCCAGTTTTTTTAAGGAATCTCCACACTACAACAGAACCTCTTAAAGGTCCCTGTGATCAACATCAACCTGTCTCTCCTCCCTGAGTCCCCTCCTTCTCCACATCCGCCTGGCAACCTCCAGTTCATCTCCTGGAAACATAATTGGGCCCACAAGCCACCTGGACACCTTTTTATTTATAAATACATGGACTCAACCTACCTCCACAAATGACTAAGGATCCTTCAAAGACAAAAAGTAGATCTACCCAGTGTCCAGCATAGGATTGACCCAAGGCTGCATTTCTGGGTGGATGGTTCAAAGCCCACTTCTTCAGCCAACACTGGGCTTCTGCCTCTGGCCTGCTGGCGCTAAGCAAGGCATAGTGGATGCAAGAAGCACAGGGTACCGTCCAGGGAGAAGCACACATTAACAGGTAATTGTAGTGTTGGGTGATATGGTGGGAAAACAGGTGAGAGCAATTATAGGTATTGGGGCATACCTGAAATCGGGGCATTCCACTGCAGCCTTTCATAAGCCCAAGTGGCGTAAGGCGAAGAAGCAGTTACCCCAGGACACAAGGATGCACAAAATAGAGCCCAGGTGCTCACAGACACAGTTGAAAGCTATGGGGGCTTGATGCTGAGATGCTGAGTGGGATTCCCAGGGAAGGAGCTTGGCCATGCCACTCTCACTGTTCTACTCTGGGTGCATGCTGCCTCTACAGCTGGCTGCAGAACAAACTCTGAATGCTGTTTTTGCTTTTTGCCTTGTTTTGTAAAAGTGAAAATCCCCTTTGGATTCCCCTTGGTTAGCAAAAACAGGTACTGAGGTGGGTCTTCTGTAAACACAACGTGGTGAAAGCAAACTTTTGAAAAGTGGGGGATACCTGTAACTTTGGGTGCATTGGAGAAGACTTGCAGTAGCCAACATGGAGCTGGGCCTTGAAAGCAAAGCAGGAGTTTGCTGGGTGGTGAGAGAAGGAAAAACATATAAGGCACAGAGGCATGAAAAAGCCCAGCATGCTCCAGGACAGTAAAGTATTTCTTATGGCTGGAGCATAAGAGGAATGGCCAGAGGCAAGGGCTGGGGTGGGAGGGGTGAATATGGGAGATGAGGCTAGGGAGGCAGCAGGGGCCAAGGAGCAGCAGACCTCACCCTCAAGTCAAGGAGTTTAGACACATACACATCCCAGGGCCAGTTATTGAAGATCTTCAAACAGGAACAGAGTGACATGGTCAGTTTGAGGGATTCTGTATTTTAGGCCCCACAGTGAGGCATTTGAGATCTTAGTTCCCTGACTAGGGATCAAACCTGGGCCCCCTGCACTGAGAGCATGGAGTCTTAACCACTGGGCCCCAGCCAGGGAAGTCCCAGCTTGCGTTTTAATGTAGAGGGAAGAGGGGATATAGAAGCCCGGGAGGCAGCTGCTCTATTAGTCCAGGGGTTTGGGCCACTAAATACTGTTAACACTCGGTCATCAGTCTGTTCGGCTCCATTCTAATTACCTTATACAAATCCCATTCTCCCAGGACCCTCTTTTAAAGACTGAAAAACTGAGGTGTAAAGAAGTCAAGTACCTTGCTTTGCTTGGTAAGTGGTGAAGCCTGGATTTGCACCCTGGTGGCACACTTCAGGGCCTGTGCTTTCAGTTTCTGTGCTATACGGGTTCTCACTAGCATCACAGCAATAATAATAATGCTATGCTAATGAGGTTTGCCTAGCGCATATTCAACTTTGGACTGTTACCGCAGGTTTAATCAAGATCTAATCAGGTCGGCAAGGATACTGTCCAGCTGGAAGGCCATCCCCAGAGCCCAGAGTCCAGTGGAGACACTGCTCCAGGCCTTGCTGTATCCGCGCCACAGAGAGAGAAGTGACCTGGCCACCTCCCCAAACTGCTGACAGTGACCTTTGGCAGAGGCATCCAGAGCCTCGTGCTGCAGTTGGCCGACAGCCCAGCCAGAAGGGCTGAGCCAGTATGGCCTGGGCAGCTGCAGGGCCTGGGCCCCAGGGGCCTCCAGACACCCTGGCTTAAAGCCAGGACACTGTGCAAGGCTGCTAGAGCCCATAGCTTGGGACCCAGCATTAGGAGCCCCAGTTTGGTTACTGATGTGCAATGGAATCTTGAGCAAATCCCTACCCCTCCATGGGCCTCAGTTTCCTGGAAGGTGAATGAGTAAAACTTGCCCCTGTCCTTGTCCTTCCTTCCTTATGTGGCCTGTGATGGGCAGGGCACTGGGGCACACAGAGTCATCTCTCCTGCCAGAAAAGCTGGCCCTCACGTTACTTAGGGTCTCTCCTCGGTGCCAGGCCCTGTGCTCTATATTGAGGCCACAGAGCAGGGATGAGCTGACTCCTGCCTCCAAGCAGTTCCCAGTTAGCTGTGAGACTGGGGAACAGACGGTAAAACCAATCGCAGCCCAGTGTGGTCGGTACTCTATTGCACAGAGAGGATACCCAAGGGGGTCTGTGGGGCTCCAAGGAGGGAGAAGCTGACTCTGCCTGCAGTGACCTGGAGGGCCTCCAAATAAGAAGAACAGGGAACTGCACTGTGTCTTGCTTCTTCCAGGTCGAGAAGAGGGTGGGGTGTGTTCCTATTGAGGCAACAACCTGTGCAAAGGCCTGGAGGCAGAAAAGACTGGTCTGTTGAGGAAAAGCTGAGCATCATGTGGCAGGTGGTGGGGAGGGGAGTGTGTATGTGTTCAAGGAAATGGGGCTGAAGGAGCAGATGGGAGGCAGCACGGGGCCGCACTGAGTCCCAAGCCGCTAAGGCGCAGCTGAAGGCTCCTCGGCCAGAAGGAGCAGAGCCCACACACAGGCCTCATGGGCAGCTGGGAGGGAGCCTCTGGAGCCCCAGGTGGCCAGTTCCTCCTCCTTTCCAAGGCCAAAAGTCATCCTGCCCTCCTGGTCAGGGCACTCCATCCCCTCCAGTCTCAGACAAAGTCCTTAACAGAGCAGCCCAGTTATCTCAAGCACCTTATCCTTGGGAGCTTCATCCTCTATCTTCTAGGTTTCCTTGGCAGTCCAGTGAGGCAGCTGAGGCTCAAAGCTGCCAGGTGATGCAGAAACAGTTTTGAGCACCTGTGGGTCAGTCCCCACGTTTATCTCTGGAGAAGGGGGCCAGACAGGATGCCTGCAAGGAGCTCACAGTCTGGCTGGGAGGACAAATGCTAAACAGGGGAGCATGCTGATAATTAATTATTTACTGTTGTTTTGGTTGTTTAGAAAAACACATCAGCCATAAAAAAAGAATGAAAATAATGCCATTTGTAGCAACATGGATGGACCTAGAAATTGCCGTACTAAGTGAAGTAAGTCAGAGAAAGACAACTATCATATAATATCCACTTATACATAGAATCTTTAAAAATGATGCAAATGAACTTATTTACAAAACAGAAGTTGAGTCACAGATGTAGAAAACAAATCAGTGGTTACCAGAGGGGGAAGGAGGGGAGGGATAAATTGGGACATCGGTACTAACATACACACACTATTATATATAGAATAGATAACTAATAAAAACCTACTGAAGAGCACAGGGAACTCTATTCAATATTCTGTAGTGACCTATATGGGAACAGAACCTTAAAAAAAGTGGATATACCTGTAAGTATAACTGACTCATTTTGCTATACAGCAGAAGCTAACACAATATTGTAAAGCAGCCATACTCCAATTTTAAAAATTAATTCAAGGGTGGGATGGGAAGGCAGAGAGAGGCTCAAGAGGAAGGGGATATATATAATTATGACTGATTCGAGTTGTTGCACGGCAGAAACCAACCCAACACTATAAAGCAATTATCCTCTGATTAAAAAACATAGTGGAAAAAAAA